GAGTCCGCCTGCCGATGCAGGGGACGTGGGTTCGTGCCCCGGTCCAGGAGGATCCCACGTGCCATGGAGTGGCTGGGCCTGTGAGCTGTGGCCGCTGGGCCTGTGCGTCCGGACCCTGTGCTCCGCGGCGGGAGAGGCTGCAGCAGTGAGAGGCCCACGTACCGGAAAAAAAAAAAAAAAGACACATGCACCCCAATGTCCATTGCAGCTCTATTTACAATAGCCAGGTCATGGAAGCAACCTAAATTCCCATCGACAGACGAATGGATAAAGAAGATGTGGTACATATATACAATGGAATATTACTCAGCCATAAAAAGGAATGAAATCGGGTCATTTGTAGAGACATGGATGGATCTAGAGACTGTCATACACAGTGAAGTAAGTCAGAAAGAGAAGAACAAATATCGTATATTAGTGCACATATGTGGAATCTAGAAAAATGGTACAGATGAACCAGTTTGCAGGCTGAAATAGAGACACAGATGTAAAGAACAAACGTATGGACCCCAAGGGGGGAAAGCCACGGGGTGGGGGGGAGTGTGCTGAATTGGGCGATTGGGATTGACATGTATACACTGATGTGTATAAAATGGATGACTAATAAGAACCTGCTGTATAAAAAAATAAAGAAAAGAAAATTCAAAAAAAAATGTACAAAAAAAGATGGGAACAATAAACAGTACTTACATTGACCAAACCCGAAAGGGCTTCTCAGGACACCTGGATTGGGAACATCCTTAAATAAAATAGGTAACTATATTGCTTTTGTTGGTTAAGAGCTGTGACATGATTATGCAGCAGTAAAAGTATTTTTTAAAGTATCGTGAGAGGTAGAAAAGTTGAGGAAGTTACTCATGTACAATAGAAGAGCAGGTAAAAAATACAGAGGCAGTTATTTCCGTAGCAGTCGTATTATTTAATTTGTTTATTTTGACTCATTATTTAGACTAGGAAGAAGAGTTGAGCAAAGCCCAGCCAATCAGGTTCCCCCTCAACTAATTTTTTTTAAATTTATTTATTTAATTTATTTATTTTTGGCTGCGTTGGGTCTTTGTTGCTCTGTGCGGGCTTTCTCTAGTTGCGGCGAGCGGGGGGCTACTCTTCGTTGCGGTACGCAGGCTTCTCATGGCGGTGGCTTCTCTTGTTGCAGAGCACGGGCTCTAGGAGCACGGGCTTCGATTGTTGTGGCTCTCGGGCTCTAGAGCGCAGGCTCAGTAGTTCTGGCGCACAGGCTTAGTCAGTTGCTCCAAGGAATGTGGGATCTTCCCGGACCAGGGCTCGAACCCGTGTCCCTTGCCTCGGCAGGCAGATTCTTAACCACTGCGCCACCAGGGGAGCCACCCTCAACTAATTTTGAACAGGGACCCAGCAACTCCAATCAGTCAAGCGTTCTCCATCATATGCTGGGAAGCAGAAAAAGCGGGTCAACATAGAAAAGGGGCAACAAAGCAGAGAGAGAAGCTGAGTTGCTAGACTAGGCAACTCCAGGTAAAAAGAAAGAGTGGCTTCCTTTGTTCCTGGCAGGTTTCAAAACCCTGGTGTCAGTCCCACCTAAGACCCAGCAGTACTACCTTCCTGTGTTGTAGGAGACAACCTTGCATCCATCCAATAAACACCCCCTTTTGGCAAAAATCAGGGTGACTGATTTGTAGCAAATAAGATTCAGCTACAACACATCACTCCAGCAAGATTGATCTGCTTCCTATACCCCAAAATGCTGTTGGCATTTCTAACAAATGCAATGTATCCTATCCTTTGAGTCCCACCCCCCAAACCCACCTCTCCTCCAACTCAAGTCCCTGGCACTCAATAAAGTCTTCTCCAATCACAGTAGCCAACATGGCTCAATAACTTTTAGATGAACTCCTAAGAAGAGATTGAGGCTGGAAATGAGGTTTTAAGTCTTATTTCACACCACAGCATCTCCCAGATGCACCACAGTGTGAAAAGTCTTCGAAATCTGGTACACTTACAAGCACATCATAATTCAGGCTAACCACACTTCAAGTGCTCAGTCGTGGCATTTAGCTGGTAGCTACTGAATTGGCCAGTCAGTGTAGAGTTAGAGGTTGAATCCAAGCTCTGCCATTTCCTTGCTGTGTGATGCTGAAATGATTGCTTAACCTCTCCAGGTCTCATAAAGCTGTTTTGCATATTAAATGATATATTACCCGCAAATCCTTTAGCATAGAAAGCTCTTGATAAACTTTAACCACTAATTTTATCACAAAATACAAGAGTAAACAGAAGGAAGAGTCAGAGAAAACTTACACTTTGGTGGAACCCAATAAAATAATTTAGAATAAAGTAACAAATGAATAAAAATCATGTATGACTGTTAGAATTTCTGTGTGTTTTGTAGCGTTTAAGAGCTAGTTTGAGATTCAAATCCTGGTTCTTCTGTATGAAACTGGGAAATTTATTTAACCTCTTGATATTTCGGTGCTTCCATCTGTAAAACGGGAATAGTGCCACATATGACTGGTGAGGAGAGATGAGTCAGTAGATGTAAAGCACTTAGAACAGGGGCCAAAAGTAAAGACAAGCAGTAGCTATCATTATCATCATTATCACTATTGCTGTTGTTATCCTACCATCCCAGATAGTTAATGGTAGTGTAATTGTTGAGTCTCAGGTCCTCGGCTTTAACTAAATACGGGCTGACTTTTAGTTGACCTAAAATCAAACAATCCATTGTGCTTATAATCGTGAATTTTCTCTATTGGATATAAAGAGCCACACAAGGGCAAAAGCATAATTACAGCAGTCTAGTTAGAAATATCCAGTTCACAAACATCACAATCCCATTCACAATTATAAGTGCTAAGAAATAAAATTAGGATGCTGAGGACTAAGCATATAAAATGAACAATAACCAGATATTGCCTATTGGACCTGCACACGCTTCCATCTCCTTCTCTGTTCTCCCTTATATCACAAGGACAGAAAGCCTGAGAACTAAATGTCACAAACTCAGTTGCCAGCAGGGTTATGGTTTAGTCCACAACAGTGAGATACACTCATGCAAGACATAGAAGGCAGAAAGGGGATAGAATTACTCTTCTCCTTCTGCTAGCTTTATCAGATACGTGGGCTTCATAAATGGGGGGTTTTAATAATAGCTTCCATGTTCCCTTGAAATTCACCCCCTTAGGGCTGCAGAGAAGCTATGAGGCTAGCAGTAGTGTCCTATCAGTTCCGGGCCTCTGGGAGGCATCAGAATCTCTCTGGCCCCTTGGGTAGACTATAGCTGTGGTTGTCCTCTTGACTTTGGCTTCTTCTCAATGATTTCTGTAGGCAGCTTATTCCCCATACTAAGTATTGATCTGTTTGAAATACCTGGAATGATTTGGTTACCTGCCTGAACCCTAACTGATACTGATGTTTTTCCCTGAAAATTAATCTTGACTCTCAGATCTAGCTGATGCCTTTAAGAGATGCAGGCAATAAAATGTCAGGAATTAACTTTAAAATTTTTAATTAGTTGTGGCAAAGTTTGATTTCAACAATAGTAACAAAAACAATGAAAAGTAGCAGTCATTGCCATTTCTAAATGATCTCTTTTACAATAAAAGAGATCTCTTTTTCATGACTCTCTCCTTAACTCGAGTCAACCTAAAACCATCTGCTACAAACTGAATGTTGTGCCCCCCCTAAAATTCATATATTGAAGCCCTAATCCCCAATATGATGGTATTTGGAGGTGGGGCCTTTGGGGGATAATCAGGTTTAGATGAGGTCATGAGGGTAGAGTACTCATGATGGGATTAGTGCCCTCATAAGAAGAGGAAGAGCCCAGAGTCCCCTCTCTCTCCCCGATGTGAGAACACAGCAAGAAGGCAGCCATCTGCAAACCAGGACTAAGGCTCTAATCAGACACTAAATCTGCTAACACCTTGATCTTGGACTTCCCAGCCTCTGGACTATGAGAAATAAATGTTTGTAATATAAGCCACCCAGTCTATGTTATTTTGTTATAGCTGCTGCTCACACTAAGACACCATCTAACACCAAAGCCCATGCTCTTAGCCATGAGGTTGTATCTTCACACTGCAGTGTAATTGAGAACCACTGTCAACCATTGGGGCGATAGCCTTGGGCCACATTGGTACCTGTGGTCAGATTGCAGCATCAGTGCCATCACCATGGAAAGATAACTCATCCCATAACTACTCTGCTTAAAATTTTGCTTTCTTGACCATAGGAAACATTAACCATGAGTTAGCATAATTATTCTCATTTCTGGGAACAGGAAGGTTAATGCTGAAAGAATCTACAAGCTGAAAATAAGACTGAGTCTAAGATGGATCCACGTGAACTTAGATTGAAATAAATATGCAGTAAGTGAGATTCCCAGCAGTCATTTTGAAAACCATGCAGCACAACAAGATTTTGTCTCCATCTAATTTAGCAAATATTACCCAAAAATACCCCAAGATTCCCACTCACCCAGGAGAAAGTCCAGGGGTGGGGCCTTCTCTAGAGAACTGGGTTGAACAGAGATGTGGTCAAATCCTCCTGTCTCGCTAGGCTCCGTCTGCTAATGAGACACAAAGCAGATGGATAAAGCAGCTGGGATTGGAACAGAGTGTTCTTTGAGGCTTCAGGCTCTGTGTTTCCACAGCAACATCATACCTGGAGGAAAGCAGCCCTGTGATGAAGCCCGGCACGTCTGTCTCCATAACGACAAGATCAAGGCAACTTGGCCATGACTCCTCCCTATTCCTCCTCAGTAGTGACCACAGTAACTATGCTACACACCCTCGCATTACAGATAAACAAGCATCCACAATGAAACTTCTTTGATGGTTGTTCTGGTCAGGTTCCCCAGATGCAGACTTTGAAAAGAGGATTTGTGTGATTTATTAAAGAAGTACTACAAAGGGAAATGAGGAAGGAAGCAGGGGTGGGATGGGAAAGAGGGGGAAGCCAAGCAGCAATGTCACCCCGGGCACAATCCCCCCAGAGAGTAGCTTCAGCCTGTTCTCAGGGAGGAAGTCAGAATATAAGTTACACCGTATAGTTGCCTGCTCCCAAATGGGTCACCCCAGGGGACATAATTCCCATGTACTTTCAGCTTTCTGCCTTTTAGGAAAACCAGGCTCTGGGAGCCAGGGAGTCCAGAGAAAGGCTATAAATACTGTCTTTGGAAAGCACAGAAAACCCAGGTGGTGCACAAAAATAGTAAAATGGTATCCAAGGGGATCTGAGCAGAGCATCACCATTATCCTCTACACTGGAGAAGACTAGTGAATTGTGGAGAGATGGATATAAAAGAAAAGGTGAAGTTGACCATACTTTCCTTCTCATACATCTCAGACAGTGTTTGCCTAGAGTTATCCAGGCTGGGCTTTAATACCAAGGTCAAGCCTTGGTAGCTACTGGTCATCAACATTGTGCCTTGCACAGGAGTAGGAATTATGGAAACATCAAATAACAGGACGTGTTATTCCATACAATAAACTGAGATTTATGCTACCCAGCGAGGGACCATGTTTTGGTGCAAGCAGCAGGATAGTAGGAGTCACAGAACTTCCTTGCATGGCTTCAACGTTGACCACTTGATAGGGACATTAGAGAGAGGATTCAAGTATTGGAAAAAGTACTAGAAAAGGATGGCTCCTCAACTCTGACATTCAGGACTTCACAGCCTAGGTTTGATCCTGCTCTCTCTCTCACTTCCTGTGTGACCTTAAACATATTCATTAACATCTTTTAACATCAGTTCTTTCTTCTGTAAAATGGAAATGTTAAAACCCACCCTGGTCCTCCACTTCTGGATTTTCTCTATTCTTCCCACTAAGTATGACTAAAAATCCTGGATATTAGATATAAAACTAATATAAGAAAACTCTGAAATGTAGAGAGAAGGCAGACCAGCTAGGGACCTCATGACCTAAAGAATGACACAGTGGTGAATTCCATGGGTTTTCTCCAGCTCCAGACTCGGAGCTGAAGAAGATGGCAACCTGAAAATACCAATGAGCCCTGACAAATGAATCAGTAAATAAAATTAAAATAAAAGCTTGCTCACACTAGCCAAAGGACCAGGAAAGGGGTCATCTAGTAAGACAGAAAACTTTCAGACAATGACTACTCTAGTCCAGACAAACACCAAAAATACTGTGGTCCCAGCACTATCCATGATAGAAAAAGTAAAGTGGGAAGTCTAGTTTTCCACTTTTGCAAGGATGTAATGAGGCACCCCAACACAACCACCAGGGACAGAAATCCAACTAGAGAGCCAGGCAATAACAAGCCCTTTCGCCCAACGTGTCAGTGGGGACCATGGGATGAGTCAGAACTTCCATCTCCACTTGGCAGTAATGAGCTATCCCCATCTTCCCCTCAGGGGTGGTAAGAGAGGTATCTCCTAGTGGAGAGTCAGAACTTTCCTCATCACCCACTGATAACATGGACACCCCACTATTGTGTCGGTGGAGACCATGTGGGGAGATATTACTCCCACCCACCCCCATCCAGGGGTAAAGAGGAGCTCCTTCCCCATCTTGGGTGTCAATGGAAACCAGATGGAGAACCTGGACTCCTATCTCCACTTAGAAGCAGTGGGGTGGCATCCTCAGAGCAGTGTCAAGAAAGTCTAGCTAAAACAGAAGATTTGAATATCATCCAACGTCATATAACATGATACAAAAATGTCTAAGTTACATTGAAAATCACTCATGATATCAAGAACCAAGAAGATCTTAAACTGAATGAAAAACATCAATGAGCAGATGCCAAAAATGAGGTGACAGAGATGCTAGATTTTAAAGCAGCCATCATAAAACTGCTTCATCAAAGAGTTACTAACATACTTAAAACAAATGCAAAATATGCCTCAGCAAAAAATTAGAAGATATAAAGAAAAAACAAATGAAAATTTTAGAATTATAAAATACGAAAACCAAAATAAAAAGCTCAGTGGATGGTTCATAGCAGAATGGACAGGACAGACAAAGAAGAAAACACAACTCATCCAATATTAGTTAAATAATTTAAATATCCCTATAACTATTAAGGAAATAGAATTCATAATTTTAAAACTTCCAAAAAAGAAATATCGCTACTTTGGAAAACAGTTTGGTGGTTCCTTATAAAACTAACCACACTCTAACCATATGACCCAACAATCACACTCTTTGGTATTTATCCAAAGGAATTGAAAACTTATGTCCACATAAAGATCTGTACACAGATATTTGTGGCAGCTTTATTCATAATTGCCAAAACTTTGAAGAAATCAAGATATCTGTCAGTAAGTGAATGAATAAACTGTGATACATCCAGACAATGGATTATTTTTCAGTGCTAAAAAGGAAATTAGCTTTCAAGCCATGAGAAGATTTGAAGGAAATTTAAATGCATATTACTAAGTGAAATAAGCCAACCTGAAAATTCTACATGCTTATATGAGTTCAACTATATGACATCCTGGAAAAAGCAAAACTATGGAGACAATAAAAAGATCACGGATTGCCGGGAGTTAAGGGGGAGGAAAGGATGAACAGGTGGAGCATGTAAATTTTTAGGGCAATGATACTATAATTCTGGATACATGTCATTATAAATTTGTCCAAACCCATAGAGTGTACAACACATGAGTGAACCCTAATGTAAACTATGGGCTCTGAGTGATGATGATGTGTCAATGTAACTTTATCAGTTGTAACATATGTACCATTTTGGTGAAGGTTGTTAATAATGGGGGAGGCTATATATGTAAGGGGCAGGGGGTATGTGGGAAACTCTGTACTTTCTGCACAATATTGCTATGAACTTAAACGTGCTCTTAAAAATAAAGTCTACTTTAAAATAAATCAAGTCTATTTTTAAAAACAGATGGGTTTTCTGAAGGATTCTACCAAATCTTTAAAGAAAATTTAACCCCAAATCTATACAATCTCTTCTGGAACATAGAAGAGAAAACCCTCCAATTCGTTTTAGGAAGCAAGTATTATCCTAATACCAAAAAGCAGACAGAGTCAGTACAAAAAATAAAAGAAGAAGAAGAAGATACTACACACCAATTTTGCTCATGAATATAGACATGAAATTCCTTAACAAAATATTAGCATTTAGAATTAAACAATGTGCAAAAAGAATTATCCACCATGTTTAAGTAGATTTTATTCCAGGTATACAAGGCTGGTTCAATATTCAAAACTCAATCAGTGTAGACCAGCAGATTAACAGGCTAAAAGGAAAAATCATATGATCATATTAATGCATAAAAGATATTTGTCAAAATTCAACACTCATTCATGATTTAAAAACTCTCAGAAAAATAGAAATAGAGGGGAACCTCCTCAACTTAATAAAGAACATCTAACAAAACCCCACAGCTAACATCATACTTAAAGGTAATAGATTAAATGCTTTCACCCAAAATCAGAAACAAGACAAAAATGTCCACTCTCACCATTTTTATTCAACATAGTGCTGGAAGTTCTAACAAATGAAATAAGGCAAGAAAAGGAACTCAAGAAAAGGAACTTTGTAGGAATCTACAAAACTAAAAAACAAACAAAAACCTCTTGAACTAATATGTTATTCAGCAAGATCACAGAGTACAGGATAAATATTGAAAATCAGTTTTATTTCTATACACTAACATGAATACATAGACACCAAAATTTAAAAACACAATACCACTGACAATCGTTTGAATAATTAAACATTCAGGTATAAATCTAGCAAACCATGCCTGGAACTTGTATGCTGAAAACTACACAACACTAATGAAAAAAAGTCAAAGAAAATCTCAAGAAATATAGAGACACACCATGTTCATGGTCCAGAAAACTCAACATAGTAAAGATGTCAATTTTCCCCAAATAGATATACAAATTTAATGTAATTCTTATTAAAATCACAGTGAGATCTATTGCATATATAGACAAGCCTATTTAAAAAATTATATGTAAATGTAGAGGAATTGGAACAGCTAAAACAATTTTGAAAAAGAAGAAGAAAGTGGAAGGATCAGTCTACCCAATTTCAAGACTTATTATATAGCTACAATAATCAAGACTGTATGGCAATGGCAGAAGGATAGATTTATAGACTAATGGAACAGAACACAGAATCCAGCAATAGACTCAGACAAATATGTCTAATGATTTTTGATAAAGATGCAAAAGCAGTTCAATGGAGGAAAGATAGCCCTTTCACCAAATGGTGCAAGAACAATTAGACATTCATAGGCAAAAAATAAACTATGATGTAAGTTTCACACCTTATACAAAAATTAAGCAAAATAAATCATGAACTTAAATGTAAGACATAAAACTATAAACACTTTTAGAAAAAAAGATAGAAGAAATCCTTGAAATCTAGAACTAGCAACAAGTTCTTAGACTTGAAACAAGAAGCAAAATCGATAAAAGAAAAAATTTGCTGGGTAAGTAAACTTTGAGCAGAGACCTGAAGCAGGTGAGGCAAAAAAAAAAAAAAAAAAGATAAATTGTACATCATTAAAGTTTAAAACTTCTGCTCTGTGAAACACCCAGTTAAGAAGATGAAAAGATAAGCTACAAA